CGATGATAAATGATGACAGTTATGTATGAGATGTCTGTACTACTACCAAGCTGCTCGGCATTCTAACTTAACAACAAGTCCCTCGATCGGAGGGCCTGGTGCCAGGCTGGCGCAAAGCGCCCCTCGCGAAGCGAGCCTCCAAAGGAGGGACTTGCGACTAAAGCCCACATTTGGGCTTGGAAGCTGAGGGCTGTTAGTAGGGAAAAAAATTGCCCAGGCAATCACCCCCTCTTCCCCTAGGAAATATTTTCAGCCGTTTGGACCAGGCAAAAGGCCTGAATTGTATCTAACTTTTTGTCTCACCAACAAGGCCAGGGGCCCTTTACATCGGCCCCCACCTGCCTTTCAAAAAGGTCATTTTTCCATGAGGTTGATGAGGGACCTCCAGTTCCTTCATCAAACCTCTTCGGTCTTCTGGCATACTATGTGTGTATTGTTCTATGGATATAGAAACTCTGTACACGAGACATACTACCTGTGTCTATCACTGAGCATTACCGGTGTGGCAGGATGAGGCACCCATGATTCCTGTACAGAATGAACCAGAGGCTCACAGGCTAACTCATACTATGTGTTGTACCACCATATATGCAATAAGGTGGTTTTCAGCTGGAATCAAGTCCCCCACTTTCTATCCAAAGGATGGATAGGTGTTCATCAAAAATATTTCAAAAAAAAATATGGACACCAAGGTGATACAGCAGTTCCCAGAAAGCTTGCTGTCGCGAGCTCCTGGGATCCCAATTTTTTTTTTTTTGTGCCTCGATTTTTCTTTGTTTTTCTGTCCTGTACGTGGCCTCGTACAGCCATAATATTCCAGGCATCATGGCCCAACTCCCCCATTTTTCAAGTTGAAGATATGGGAGTTGGACCATTGGATTCCTCTCATTTTTTTGAGTCGGAACCGGTCATCACATCGGCTGTACCCAGCCCCCACCAGGCAACCGACAGGTGCCCGGAGGCCTCACCCGGCCTCGGCAGCAGATTCGCAACCTGTACAGTCATGTGTACAGGTTACGAGGCGCAAAAAAAAGTCGAAAGAAAATAAAAAAAAAATCAGATCCCAGGAGCTCGCGAGCGCAAGCTTTCTGGGAACTGCTGTATGCTCACTTATGTGACAAACTTTACTGCTGATCATTTAGTTGGATGGGCTGGGAGTAACGGGCTTTTGTGTGTAAAAGATCCCGGAAAAGCCACAAAAAGTACCAGCTTCCAGGCCAAGATCCCAACTTGACTCATAAGCCCCTCTTTCAGAGGCTCGCTTTGCGAGGTGCCCCCGGCCCTCTGGTCGAGGGGATTATGTTAAGCTAGCTTGGCATTGCTCTTGTATAAATTTTAATCGAGAACGCCGGATGATCCAGTAGGCACCATTCTATACTATAGCGCCTAACACTGTTGACGGTTATTGGTATACATAGTATTGTTATAGTATACATATTTCCAACTTTTACTACATATAAAGCATGTGGTTATAGTCTGATTTCCAGGGCCCTTTACGATTACAAATGAGGAGGAAAGAAAATTTGTTTGTGGGTGATTTTGACTCTACTATATATATAAAC